ATAGATGATCACACTCGTTTAACTTGGGTTTATTTAATGACAAAAAAATCTGAAGTGAAAGACCTTTTTATGCATTTTTATAAAATGATTGAAACTCAATTTCAAACCAAAGTAAGTATTTTTCACTCAGATAATGGGACTGAATATTTCAATGATTACTTGGGGGAATTCTTTAAAAGGAACGGCATTTTTCATCAATCTACATGTCGTGACACCCCTCAACAGAATGGCATTGCGGAAAGAAAAAATAGACATTTACTAGAAGTTTCTCGTGCCATTATGTTTTCTATGCATGTTCCAAAGTATTTATGGGGAGAAACTGTTCTCACAGCTGCTAATTTAATAAATCGTATGCCTTCTAAAGTTTTAAATTTCAAAACTCCCCTTGATTATCTAAAAGAATTCTTTCCAACTGTTCATCTTTTCTCTGACCTACCAAAAAAAGTTTTTGGATGTACAACTTATGTTCACACCCCTAATCTTTTTCGATCTAAACTTGATCACCGGGCTATCAAATGCACTTTTGTAGGCTATGCCTCGACACAAAAAGGTTATAAATGTTTTGATCCTACAACAAAGAAAATTTATGTCAGCACTACAACAAAGAAAATTTATATCAGCACTACAACAAAGAAAATTTATGTCAGCATGGATGTAACTTTTTGGAAAAATCGACCTTTTTTTTTCCAAAAATTCCCTTCAGGGGGAGGAATCGAGTTCTGAAGATAATTTTTGGGACATCTCTACTTCTCTCCCAAATATCATTTGTCCTGATATTCCTGATTCTTTAGTACCACGTGTGGAAGATTTTCATCCAGGGAGAGAAAAACCACCACAAAATGACCATACTGATATAAATCACGAGCTTCAAGTTTATACTAGGAGACATTTCAATTAAAGAAATGAAGATCAAGGGGCTGACTTGTCACCCAGTCTACTACCCCGAGGAATGATATTGAAAATCCAGATAATCAATCTCCTATTCGCAATCAATCATCTATCTCACTTGATATATCTGATCTTGATGTTCCTATTGCCCTTAGGAAAGGTGTCCGTACTTGTAATAAATATCCTATTGCAAATTACCTTTCATATCAAAAACTGTCAGATAGTCATAAAGCCTTCACTTCTAAAATAAATAACTTGAATCTCCTATTCGCAATCAATCATCTATCTCACTTGATATATCTGATCTTGATGTTCCTATTGCCCTTAGGAAAGGTGTCCGTACTTGTACTAAATATCCTATTGCAAATTACCTTTCGTATCAAAAACTGTCAGATAGTCATAAAGCCTT